TTTATTATGCTGGTAATCATACGTAATAACTAATGTTAACGAACACATATGTACAAAAATTCAGTAATAAAGTCAAATTTCTATTGCATGAGGATCAAATTTTCAGCTGTTTTCCTATTGGCTTGATCCGAAGTGATACGTACGGGCTATGCGTGTACTCCAGTTGACTGATTACGAATGAGTTAGTCTAGAATAAACAAACAGATAGAGCAATCAAGGCAGACAAAAAAATGGATAGTCGCCTCGAAGCTTACCGGAGCACATTTTGTTTTGAGTCCGTAAAGGGAGAGAAGTTTTTTGCGGAGTTCTGGTGTGGTCAGAAGCATCAGCCATGTTCTCACATACGACATAAAACAAATTAGTAACGGATAGACCTCTCGCCGCATTCTGAGCACCGGAATATTCTGAAACAGACTTCTAATTCTTTCAGCTTTTGACTGACACTTTTCAGGCTCAAGAAATGCTCAATAGCACATCGGACGCCTACATCTTCTATGCTTACTCGTGGATCACCATGAATCGCACACAAATGTCAGCTATACCTGTACCCTACCATAATCGTTCCACATTACGCTGGCAAGGAATGTCCCTCAGGTCGCCATGGCCATTCCATATGAGATGTATACCCCTTTATGCATTCTTACACGCTGATTTCAAATCTGCATTCCAAATCTGCTAAACGATTCTGTGAACGGAGTTATGAAGCTGAAGAGACCAGCGGTTCTTGAGCAAGGGCTCGTGGGATCGGTTCATTCATTTGCTTTTGTGCGCAACGTTCCCGGAATGACTCTTGCGCATGTTACTTCATCAATGTTTGCCTATAATAACCCGTATATACTTGCAGAGGAACCGATCCCACGAGCCCTTGCTCAAGAGCCCACACTGCTTCCACTGCGCTTTTCGGCTTCATAACTCCGTTCAGAGAGTCGTTTAGCAGATTTGGAATGCAGATTTAAAATCGCGTGGTTAAATGTTGACCGATTCAACTCATAGCAGAACGGCGCTTGCAACCTGAGGGACAATTCTTTTGAGCAGTCACTGGTCAACGCCGCAGGGCCGTCCGCGGCGAAACAGGTGAACGGAGCCGGATCAGCGGACGACGTCGCAGCACGTGTTGAGCTATTGGGGAGGGGAGCAAGTCATAGTTGTGGCTGGCACATAATCGCAAACACAACCCGCTTACAGTATTGCTGTTGAAATCTTTTAATAAGCATTGAACTCTAAAATGCCATTGTAACTAAGCACTCAAAGCCACCTATGGAGAAATAGCCACGCTTCGTTTGTCCTGTTCTTAGCTAGAATACATGTTTAGAGACCTATCTCCAGAATTTTCCTTGTGATCACCGATTAGATCTTCTCTTCGTAGGAATACAACGGAAGACACTCCAGAGTATTTCCGCTCCCTCAACCCAGAGTCACCGTGCGTGGCGCAGTCTCACGGCCACGTGCGCCAGTTTCGCCTGAATAAAAACGTTCTCCGAGCCAACAATCACACGCCTGCCCAGCTCGTGTACTCCCCCATACGCGTGCGTGAGGACTTCTCAACGGCCGCTGAAGAACTGCGCGTTGACCCTACCCACACTGCGGTGCATCGGTGGTTCGCTCCGAGCAGGTTGGCTTTTACGTGAAGAACCTGCACACTGCCCATCTTGCCGTGCCGGACTCCACCGGACTCGCGTATTTGAATTAGCTGGCTGCTTTACCACAGCAAACGCAAACAGGGCGCTACGTGACTCTCCCATGCTAATACTACGAAAAATCACCGGACTGCAGATCATAGCGCCACTGATCGCGCACTTTCGACGCGATTCGACACATCTGTGCTACTCGTAGTTACTCTAGCCGATCCACTGAAAAATTGTTCGTCATAACTTCTGCGAGGGGTGTCTGCTTTAAAGTGACGCTAAGTCGCTACAGTACGCGCTGTGAATTGTCCGCTGACCCGTTTCTACATTCTCGTCGCGCTGCAGACTTCCTGTCGGGTAATCGTCGTCAGACATTTAGCTCATTCGTGGAGGTGCTATGCTCCAGCTCCAGCTAAGTGAGAACTCACATCAGATAACAAGGAGAATATGAACAACAGGACATGGTACACGGTGCAAAGTAACAACGCCACCGCCACACCCATCATCTGCACGCACACTCGGCGTTCCCGTTGAATAGCTCTGAAAAGCAGCCGGTCTTTTCCAAGCGATAGCAGTCAAACTATTAAAGTAACTGACTGGAACACCAGCACAAATATGTAAACAGCAAAAATTATACGAAAAAATTAGTTTAGTGGCATCACTTTCGATAAATTCGGTAACTCAGTAACCTGCGTAAACTAGGAGCGATCGTCACAGAGGACCCCCTTAGGAACCCTTGTGTTGGGTTCGCGGTCAAAAAAAAAACGTCGTAAATTGAAGGGACAAGAAGTTGAATTTTTTAATGATAGCCCCATCAAGCAAAGTTCAGGTGTACTACTTGAGCATAACCCTGCCCTTCAGGCCACGCTCCCTGGAGCTGCATCCTAAACGGCAACGAGATGTAGAAATGCATCAGTCCCAAAGTTCAAGTGCCTCCTTAAAATTCAAAAAAAAATCGTTTTTCGATCAGAGTGCAGTGTACAGAAAAATTCCGCATCCTTATCTGAACATTCCTCGACAATTGGCTTTGCTTCCTTTACCTCTCCTCAAGATTCGTTTTTCGATAGCAATTTCTCATATACCATGGCTTCTTCGAATTAGTTTACGTGGTTGCTGCCTTTCCCTAAGCGCTTAGGTTTCTTATAGATATAATCATAAGGGATCATCCTTCATTTGACGCCATATTCGCCTAAAAGGGTAAAGACTGCAAGCTAATGGCAAGTTGTGTAGCATACTACGCGCACGAGCCGAAAATCAAGTCCTAGATTGAATCCCACCCCGGCTAAGGAAGCCCTCCTTCCTTTCCAATTGGGATAACTGGTACCAAAAAACAAATCCAAAAACATTTTCACACCAGATTGGACACGAGAACTTCTTGTAGCGTAGCAAATCGCATTCCACAGCCACTACGATTCTGAATAGACATCGGAAACGCGGCGGAGCCCAAAGAAGAATCGACCAACGTCGAATGCTCAAACCTCTATCTTTCTATTCATTTGTGACGAAGCGCTGCGGTGCTTCAAACGTCTATTGCTAACGAAAAACAATGAATAGTTCAAAAAAATGTCAAGTTTTCAGAAACTTTCCGAAATTCGGAGCTTGATGAAGCACTGACATCACACCTCTTTGTAAACACAATATTTAATGTAATAAATAAATTCAATAGTAATAAATAATAATATTATATTAATATTATTATTTATTACTATTGAATGAATGTCTTGTTATGAGCAAATGGTGTCGAATATTCTTGAACAGCCAACAAGCCTCCTACTGGATCAGCTGAGTGCCTCATGTTCTGTGGTGCCTATTAACCTATATGTTCGTGTAATTATTTATACATCGCCTACAACAATATTGTTGTGCGCACGTATTGTGCAAAATATAAATAAATAAATAATGAATAAAGCAATAAAGAAATAATAACTGCTGCTTTTATCAGCCTCATGTCGTAAGAGGTGCGAAGTAATGGCGGAATAACACAGAAGGCAAACCGATGAGAGAATGCCTGCAAAGAAAAGGCTTATGATGTTTTGCCACGCTGAAATATGCTTATGTCTCATATTAATAAATTTTCAATATTATAGAACAAAACTGCGCATATTATTTCTCATCAACGCCACAATGCGGAGTATGTCCTGGAGGTGGGCTTACAACGCGCATGGTTACGGGTTTAGATCCAGAATCGAATTTAGCACGGACCGCTCTATTTCTTTTGCTTCGACAGTGTCGGTTCACTGATACACACATGAACCGTTTGAGATGCTCAGTGACTCACGAATCTGCTAATTTTTCAGATTGAATGCCTTCAAACCCTAGTTAATTTCCAATGGAAGTCGAAAATGTGACAATCCCAGAAAGAGGTTGCTCCATTATTTTATTCGTTGCTTAAAATGCAACGCAGATGCCGTTATTGCGATATGTTGGAAAGCTTTATGCCCGCCCCAAAATTAGTACCACTTACTAAAGCTCCTAGTCGGAAGTGATGTAGTGGAGAGTGGCGCTGCTTGCCACGCGCACTGTTCGGGGATCGAATTTTGGGTTGCGCGTCATTCAGGCCAACAAAGTATTCCATTTCTCCAGAGCAGGATCATCCATTCGCTTGCACTATTCGAACAAGGGGGTCGATTTTGGGGTTGAGCAAGGTTATCATAGTGGGAGCGGAGATTGATCGAGGTATTAAAGGGGGTTGTGTTTGGATGGGTTCTATGACGAACTTGGTGAAAGGAGGGGTTGCAAAATTTTTGAAAACGAACCCAACGGTTGACCCTATTACAGAGTCGGGTAAAAGCAAACCCCAGGGATTAGCCCGACTAGTAGGAAGGATACCGCGAGGGAAATTGTAAGGTCCGTACCTACCTAGATCACTCCAGCTTCGTCGCAAAAATTGCGCGGTTAGGGCGCTAATCCTTACGGGCCTGCAACCATCGACCCCGTTCCAACGCTTCCCACCCACCGCGAGAGATGGTGAGATCAGCGTGCATTGATGTAGAGATCTCTCAAACGACGTGCTCTCTCGCGTATTTTGTCTTCTTTGACCGCCCTGTCTCGCCATCGTACCACATCCGACCTTATTGAAGGTTAAGGCCTTAATTTCAGCGTTCCCAAAGATTCTCTTGCTTTCCTTCCCACTTTCAGGTCGTTCCGCAGCTAAGCTATCACTACGAAGCGCTAATAGCACCAGTTTAATCCCGGGTTTGCCTTTAATTGGTACCAGACTTGTCTGGGAGGATAAAAACACTGACTTGTACATCGGCTGGCCCCGCAAGTCATTGTATAGGCCACATCGCATTCAAACGCCACTACGAATGTACAAATGGAAGTAGAATGCGTGCCGCATCCCAAAAAGGGATTGATCAACGGCAAATGCTTTATTAATGCCCTTGTCCGTATGGGTTGCGTCCTGATTAGTTTGGGCCTAAGGGTGTACATTGTGTCACTCAAAAATGAAAATTCAGGAGCTTTATCAGGTCTATCAGCAATGGATGAAAAGAGTAGGCATTTGGCGCTGATAGACCGCATTTTGGAATGCGCCACTATTTAGTTACATTCGAAATACAGCGCTTTACAGGGCTAGGTGACGCACACGTTAGCGCGTTCATCCTCTCAGACGAGCTCGGTACCAATGGTCGACATGTGGGAATGGAACGATTGGTTGGCCTGGATGGCGCTTGACCCGAGATTTGATCATCGAACCGTGTATATGGGCAGCGCCAATGCCCGCCACACTACTTCGGCACAGCAATGATGTAGCAAGAGAATCCGTTCAACGACGTCACCACTTCAACCTCCCCTCCCAAATTTGCAGGGAAATACGAGATTAACATTAGAGAGGACTGATGTTTGTGATGGTTCATTGGAAGGATACATACTTTCTTCCTATGGCCGATATCAGACTTTGCGAATCGCGCGAATTCGCTAGCGTTCGCGGTCGCGTTGCGGTAT